CCCAGGTACTTTAAGCCATTTCATTTCTTGCTTTACAGTTTCCAGTTTGCTGATTCACACTCCTGACACTGCATGTCCCAATTGTATGTTTTGTGAAGAATCAGACTTTCCTTTCACCTCTGTGCAGGCCAGCCACTAGCCTTCCTTTCAGCTTTGATCTAGTGGGATCACTACCAATAGTGCTATTCGTACTTGTCCTTTAATCTTCCCTAGTACCTTGTTGAATGCCTTCCAACCTAGGGGGATCATCTTCTGGGTTCTCCAATTTCATTTTGGATTGTTTCATTATAAGGTTTTCAAAGTAAGAAGATGCAGAAGTAGTTTACCACTTCCTTCTTCTGTGCGTCACTAACCAGAGTTAGCTTGAGCATCACTACCATTTTTTTGTGAAAGATCCTTCACATTGTCACTTTCAGCTGCTGTCACTGCCCCATAGTTGCTCTTTGGAGATTTCTCCACCCCCATCACCATTAGAAATATCCATTCTCTTCTGCTGATGTGCCTATTACTCCTAAAATCCTAGTCTGGTGCCTGAGCTTGGGCTACCCTGTTAGGAGACACGAAGTTCTGTCCTGTACAATGTTATAATTCCTCTTTCCACTGGCATATTGTCCTATAAGTTCCTTCCACAAATTTGTTTTCCTTTCCTCCATTACAATAAAAAGGTCTTTGCTGTTGGAGGGAGCACAGAGCTTTCTTCCTCATGAATAATGTTTCAGAAATTTGATATGATAACTGTCTATTTTATACTTCAGAACAATATCAGCAAATCATAATTTTTATTTGAGTGGTCATAAAATAACTTCTGTATTTTAATATTTATTATTATAAATATTCTAATTATAAGAATGCCTCTTCTGGAGTAGGATGATTCTGGAGGATTCTGTGTTGCTGGAGGGAATTGGTGCTAAACTAAGGAGCAGTTTGGAAGTTAAATGCAGGGAAATTTCTGATCTGCACCACAGACTGACTTGGCGGCTGTACCGGCAGAGTGGCAGGGATTAGTGCTGCTGGTCTCCACCCACCTCCCCTTTCTTATTGACATACCTTGATGCTAATTTAGACCTGTGCAGCCTCTGGAGGGATGTTGCATACCATATCTGAATGATCTGTGTGACTGTGTAGAGCAAGGAAGAGAGAGAGAGAAAATCTTAAAACCCAATTGCCCACTTCAGTGATTTCCAAGCTGCTATTATGTTTCTAACCGCGGTAATTGGCTTTACCAGTTATTAATGGCTTGTGGTAAAGAGAAAAAAGAGACAAAACCCAGCACCTACTTTTGTAGTTCTGGGCTCCATTGACTGCAAGACTACTTGCTGACTTGGGGTCAGTTGATGTGCCGCTCTGTACTTAAGAGCTTGTCGGTATTTGACATTTCATCCTTGATAGCCCATGAGGTGTGGAGTAGATTCTTCAGTGTAGCATAAAATTTGGGTATCTAGTTTGTTTGGACAAGAGGCATGTTGCAAGCCAAAGCACAAAATGCCGTCTCTTTATTGTGTTTTTTTAACTGGTACTACTGGACATGATGAACATGTTATATTAAACATGTATTCTTGCATTTCTTGCACATATACCTGGAACAGGAAGGGGAGGGGCTTCTGCCCTAATAAACTCTGTTCGGCCTACAAGCTTCTTTGTTGACACTTGCCCATCTTACTTATTTGGGCTAGCTGGAAGGGTGCGTCTAGGGAGTGCGTCTAGGGAGTGGTGGATGCATCTCTGCATAATAGTGTGGTACCTCGTGCCTTGAAGGAGGTGGTGGTGTTTCCCTAAAAATGCCCTCCCTGGATCTGGAGGTTTATACTAATTCCAGCCTAATCACTTGATACTCCTTTCTGGGCAAGGTGCTTGAGTGGCTGGTGGTTGGAAAAGCATAGCTGTTCCTGGAGGATAAAAATTATCTCATCCCATTTCAGTTTGCCTTCATGCACTGTTCGGGGACAGAACAGATTCAGTCATTCTGGTGGATGACCTGTGAAATTGTGAGGGGATGTAACTCTGTTGATCCGAGACATTTGTGATGGGAAGGCATACAAAAGTCATAATTAATTAATCTCGGCTGCTTTTAAGACTGCTGACAAAGGTATTTTTGGATTGTCTCCATAACTTAAGAGTTGGAAGCACTGGGCTATAGTTATTCTGCTTCCACTTGCGACAACAGCTCCAGAAAATAGGTTTGTGGGACTGAGCTTTGTCTCCTGGCAGTTAGACTGTGGAGTGCCACAGGGTGTTGTCCCCCATACTATATGATGCTAATGGGGCAGTTATTAGGATTTTGGGGGCAGTGTCATCAGTATGCAGATAACACCCAATTCTTTTTGTTTGTAACATCTGAACCAAGAGAAGCCAGGCATGTTCTGAATGCAGAAGTATATCTATAGTGATAGATTGGATGATAGCCAAGAAACTGAGAATGAATCCTGACAAGATGGACATTATGAATTATTGGTTCCCAGGTACAGGAATTGAAGATTTTGCCTGTTTTAGTCAAGGTTGCACTCCCTCAGAAGGGGTTTTGGGTACTCATAGATTGATCATTGTCATTAGAGGTCCTAGTAGCTTCTTTGGTGAGGAACACCGATTATCAGCTGAGGCTAGTATGTTCAAGTCCTTTCATGGACACAGGTGATCATTATAATCCATGCATTGGTGACCTTACATTTAGATTAATGTAATGTGTTTTATGTGGGTCTACCATTGTGGTAACTTCAGAAGTTAGAGCTGACATAGAATGTGGTAGCATTGGGGACGAATGTGGAGCCCCAACTGTGGATTACACTCCCCAGGGAGGTTTGCCTGGCGCCATCGCTCTATTCTTTTTGGCGTCAGATGAAGAAGACCTTTTTAATCTGTCAGCATTTTAATAATTAATTGGTTTTATCCTGTTTTTACTATTTTAGATGCAGTGTGCTGTGTCATCATTATGATTTTGTTCTTGGTTTCCTTTCTTGTAAGCTGTCCAGAGACTTTTTTTAGTAATGGACAGCATAGAAAATAAATAAATAAATGATAAATAAATGAAAGAGGCAGTTGTTCTTGCTGTGAGTTTCAAGGTCAAGGAGATTCAGACTCTTCAGATGGGGAGGATAGGCCCTGGGAAACTGGAGGGGACCCAGTCATTGAGATGGAACAGGAAGAGGGTCTTATTCCAAGGCTGCCGTGTTCAGGTGGACTCTGAGAACAGCCAAGATCTACAAGTGCCAGGAGGGGGAATGGGACAGGAGCTCCAGGAGCCAGATAAGCCTGGTACAACTCTTTATCCCATGATGTGGTGTCAGGAGAGAAGGGCTAGCCAACTGGAGAGGCAGCATACAGGTAAGAGGATCGCCTGCCTCCAAAAGGGCCCTACCAGAGCTAGGAGGCCCTGGATTACTCATAAGGAGGGTTCTTGGAAGTAGTTTCTAGATTGGGTACAACTAACTGCTCTGTACATGCTCAGAGAATCATTTTGTGTTGATTGAGCTTAATGGATACACACTGGAGAAGAGCTTTTGCCAGAGAATGGTGTGTTTTGAAAGTGCAGAGGAAGAAACCTAGCTCCCAAAAGGTAGCCAGGATGCTGAGTGGACTGCATGCAAATGTTACACCAGTGTCAAGGCAATTGGAGAGGTCATGGGCTCTCCCACACTAGAGACATTCAGAAAGAAACTGGACAGGCATCTGAGTGGGATGGTGTAAATTGGTGTCCTGCAACAGCAGGGGTTGGACCCTATGGCCTTCATGACCCCTTCCAACTCTACTAATCTATGAACTGCACTGGTTACCTATTAACTACCAAGCCAAGTCTGAGGTTTTGCTGTTAGTATATAAAGCCCCTAACACCTTGGGACCAGGTTATGTGACAGATCACCGTCTAACAACACAGACATATGTGATTATTAAGATCATGTGAGGAAATCTTACTGGTGGCTTGCAGAGTGCCATTTCATAGCAACCAGGAAGGGGGTCTACTTATGATAGCACCTAATTTACGGAATTATCTTCTCATTGTATTTGGGAGGTCCAACTGTATCGTGCTTTTAAGTTCCAGCTAAAGACTAATTTCTCTAACCAGGCTGTTTGAGTGAATGAACTGCCCAGTGTATTTGTTTGTAATTATAGTGTTACTTTAATTTATTTTAATGTTTTATTGTTTCAGATGTTTTAATATATTTTATAAAATATTTTGTGGACTGCTTAGAGCCGTTTTAAACATTTCTGTATTATATAAGTCTATTAAATAAATAGCAGAAACATATACAAAAATGATCCATTCAGAGCAGTTTGTATAAATAGCTACAAAAATATGCATACATTTTCCTGTGGAATTATTGCCAAAACATTCACAAACTGATGTGGGAACAGGAGGAACCTGGTCTTCCAAAGATTGTAGAAACCTAAACAGAAAGATTTATCCATCCCTGGCTACCAACACATCTGAAGGATACCAGGGTGGCTTACTGCTCGAGTAGAACTTGAAGCATTATCTGTTTAAGCTGATAATTGATGCCACATGATTATACAGAGGCTTATCTCATAGAGGAAGCCTCTTCATATTTTCACTTATTCTGATACAAATTGAAGAGTATAATTTTCTATCAGGGTTTTTTCTGCATGAGGCTTTTATTTTGTACTCATCATTTCTCAGTCATGGTTGTTTATGGTTGTTTTAAATGATGTTGTGACCCTCCAGTTTCAATTCTGTTTTTAAGAGCACTTGCACAGGGTTTTTTTTTTTTGTTTGTTTGTTTTTGTTTTGGAGTGGAAGTAATGTAGTTCTTTTTCTCCTGAAAGAAAGCACAAGTCCCTTCTAGTATAATTCCATTATTCTGCTAAACCACATTGCCACCTAGAGGTTATTTAGCAAAAGAAAAACTCTTTGTGTGGTATGCCGTCTTAATTCTGCAACAAAATCAGAAGTAGATATGACAAGTTATCGGCTTAATCTGGAAAAGTTCCTAGATGTGTATTTGCTAGTGTTTAGATGGCTAATGTTTGTTTTCTTTCTTGATTGACAGTTCATTTGTGACAGGAACAGCATGCTGTGGACATACTTCACCTTTGAGAATCTGGGACTTGGGAAGGTAAGAATCTCCTACACTGGTGTGCTGAGCAATAGAAGATTTTTTTCTGTGGAATGCCCGCCTGTAGAAACTTGGTGATCTAGCTGTAGTAACGAGTCAATGTTTACCAATAACAAAGAAGTAGATGAGATGGCAAGCCATCTCTGTGCATTGAACTCTAGACCTAACTCCAGACCTATTAGTGATGTTTATGTTATTGTTCATAACATGCTCATCAACTACTGAATGTATTTCCGCGCCTTGTCAATGCATTTTCCTTCTTCAATCTGTTGTTCTATATAGTTGAGATACGTTTCCTAAATTTTAATCAAAGCTTGCCTTCTGACAACTTAAACATATTTTCTTGCCTGCTTTAGTGGCAAGGAAGACCAATTTGCCTCCATATTTTCTTTCTTACTACGGAGTAGGCAATCTACTATGGGATTTATTATCTTGGTAACTATTTATCCTTTATCTGTAAGAATCCCAGAACACCATCAGTCACAGCAGTAACACTCCAGTGTGATACAAATCATGGCAAACTAAAAGGCTGAAAAGCCCTAGCAAATAAAAAGGCTTTCACCTGGCCAAGAAAACAAAATGAAAAAACAAAGAGAGCTTCAGGTGAACCTCCTTGGGCAGGGAATTCCAAAGGGCCCTCTCCCTGATTAACAGACACCTTACTTTCAGATATGGGATGACTTGTGGCTTTAGGGCCTCAGAGACTAGAGCTTTCTAGGTTGAATTCAAGACATTAAATTGTGCTAGGAACCTGAGTGGGAGATAGTATAGCTTTTAAAAAGATGGTTTTCTATGTGTCTAGTCCTATTAATAAGAGTATCACTGTATTTAGGATTCACTGTTGTTTCCTAACAGTACTGAAATGCACACCTGTGTACAGTACAGTAGTCTAAAAGAAATGCTATTAGGGCATGGTTAACTGCACCCCATTGTCTGTCCAGGAGGGTTGGCAACTTGGCATTTTAGCTAGTATAAGGTGCTTCATGCCATAGGGTTCACGTAGGCCTCCAAATATAGGGTAGCAAAATTAATTGGACCCTACAACATTGCTGCCTTTTTCCTTCCTGTCCCATCTCTCTCTCACACACACATACCTCTTGTGGAAACTTATCTAGGCATCAGAGAGGTGAGTTAACTTATTTGTGACCAGCTAAGTGAAGAATGAAAGGCGCATGCTTCATTTTTAAGGTTGCTCGCTAGCACTATTATCAGAAGGAAAACTCACAGGAGAGGACCATTTTAAGAGATCCTTCCAGAATTGGTTGATAAAGTTTATTCCCTTTATCTAGAGGGAATATATGAACATTTTTCTGAGACCTTAAATCTGAATTCAGATGTGTATAGTTTTGATGAGACCCAAAGCGGTTCTTTACAAATTCTGTCTGTAAGTTAGTGTGCAGTCACTTAAATATCACCAATTAATATTATCCCATCAATCAGTTTTTCTTTGGTATTTCTGAGATGGGACTTGCATAGCTGCAAACTTCTTTTAATGAGCTGTAATGTCCCTCCAGTCATACTCCCCTACCCATTGGAATGTTTCCTCCTTGTTCTGTTCTGGTATCCTATGTAACCAGTGGGTTGTTGTCATCTTTGTTCTACCTCTGTCAAATTATTAACTATTGGTATAATTTCATTAGTCATTAGTCCAGGTTACTTAGTGGTCTTGTCTTTAATCAGTACTATTGAAACTATATGCATCAATTGATAATTCTATACCATGCATAATAGTTTATTGTGGCCATTTAAACTGTAAAAAAAGTAAATGAGATGTTTTGTGGCTTTCTCAGTCTCTCAAATATGTGAGTCAATGAACGGAGTTAGATGGACCATGGAATGTGTGTATAATCAGATCTGAACCGTTACATAGTCATGAAAACACAGTAAGATTTTAGCCAAGGTGCTATCCGCTTACTGCATTTCACCATCAGTTAAAAGTGTGATTTCCATTGTGAGGTTCACAACTTTTGCATTTCTTAAACTGAAGTGCTGAATGTGGAATGCAGTGAAGATAAGCATAATGTAGTTCCTGCTTTTAAACTAAAGAAGGAATGATTTTCAGCTCTGTTTCCTTTCTAACCTGTCCTCCTTGTTCATGAACTTGTCCAGGGTTACCTCAAATAGGAACACATGAGGCAAGTGAGAAGTGGCTATGTTACCTTTTCTGCTTTCCCCAAGTAAGCTTCTACAGATGATAAAGCTATGTAGAAAATAGGATTAAGGTAATGAATGGACAGGATGGAGTTTGATCTTTCAATAAGGCAAAAGCCTAACTGACAGGTAAAGCTAAAGCCTGGAATCATCCAGCCAATGTGATGCTACCTACAGTGGCTGCTGAGTGTCATGGATTCCTCCCTTTTTGCTCATTGTACTGGAATGCATTGTGCCACTGGGCTGCCCCTCTTAGGCCTCACTCATGGGAAAGAACGGAATTGACACAAATGTCTAACAAATAACAAACGTCTAACACTTTATTTGTAAGTTCATAGTTGGTATGGCACTGCACATAAGAAGTCATGCACAATGTATATAGAACATTTACAGAGGTCATGGATAAAAAAAATGTATCTGTCTACTTTTTTCCACCATTCCTTGCTGGGATATTTATGTTTTCGTTATTACTTGCATTGCTTTCTCCTTCCAAGGCTTATTCTTTGTGCATTTGTGTTCTTTTCTGAGCCTGCTGGTATAGCCTTAACACTGTCCAAAGAAGTCTCTGCATTAATAGCTTCAAACATTCACCCTGTGCAGACTTTGCTTCACTTGCTGTATTCTAGACTAGGGTACACTGTGGTAAGGCAACAACTTACCAGTACCCTCCAATTACTATGCAAGAAATAAGACAGGGTTATATGCTAATTGGGCTTGTGGTGCTAAGGTTTATACATTCCCAGAAAGAAAGAGCATACCATCTGATGATTGCCTTATTTTGGAACATTTAAATGAAAGTGTACTGTGTGGCTTAAAGTCCTAAATATTCTCTTTATAGCCCTTCTGCTCCTGGATGTTGTGCCACCTCATTGCTGGTCTTTGCTTCTTCCTCTCCCCAAGAAGCCCTTTCCTTCAGCTGCCCAAATCTCCCTTTCTCCCTTCTCTATACCTCTGTTACTCAGGCTTCTTAACTCATGTCCTCCTTTCTCCTTAGCCCCCATTGCCATATACATTATACTCTTGTTGACAAGCTTACTTTTCTGCTTCAGCAGCTTCAGGTAGATAAAAAGCAACCTTACCCAGATAATTTGTTCCGTTCCACACTCAAGTCTTTCTCTTTTACCCTCAGAGGTCTGCAAAAGCCATAGAGCCCTCTTGGCTGCTCAGTCTGTAAGCCTTAGTAGAGATTCAAAAACAGTACTGCAGGAATATTCCAGGCATCTTTGTACTAAATTCTATTGGGGTGGCTTGAGGAAGTGATCTCATTCCCTTAGTCTCATTCCCTACTATGATGAAATGTTGGCCTTACTGTGGCAAATAGATTTTCCTGTCTTACAAATTATATGCCTTCTGCTTATATTTGCTCTACATTTTTGAGCTGAACTATGGTTGTCCTTTAGGTGCTTTTTTCCCATAGAGGTTTTGGGGTCTCTTTCCTTCTTATCCATTGGTACAAGGAATTGGAACATGCTACAAAATGACACCAAACATGTAGCTTCTGTTTGTAGCTTCATTTGGTTGGTGATGGAATAACCTTTGCTTTTCTTTGACCTTGTGTTTCTAACACTTTGAATGTGTGAAAAGCTATGTTACGCTGTTTGGATACCAAGCACCACAAGAATCTTAAGGGAGGTTGGATGGCTCCCACACTCAGAAGGAAGAGAAACATATGCTGTTCTGAAAGTTAGTGTTTAGCTACTTGTGTTCATCACTACTTGTGAGGAAATGTTGCATTAGGCTTAGTGTCTCAGGTCCTTACTTTGCCACTGATATCCATGCGAGACCTTTGCAACTTTCTGTGAGTTCACTTTCTCTTATCTGTTCAAAAAAATACAAAACAGGGAAGTTGTTCAGAAGAAAGCTGGTAGACATGTTTAGATAGGAGTAGGTGCTATTTAGACAACTGCTGTCTAGATAACATCAACCATGCTTTGAGATGCTCAGATACTGAACAGGCCTGATCTAACCCTAATAGAGTTCAGTACAGTATTATAGTTCTACAACATTTCTGGTCTACTTTAAATTGTGTGTGTGTGTGTGTGTGTGTGTGTGTGTGTGTTTAGCTAAAATAGAAAAGCCAAGATGAAGGAAAGCATAAGTATCAGACACTTCTGGGGGAAATCAAGCTAAGAAAACTAATACTTTCCATTCGAGAAAAAAATGTTAATCTGCTAGGAAGCTGGCATGATGATTGTCTATTAGAGTGAACTGTTAAGCAAATTTTGGGTACTAGTCTTATTATTACTTGGAAAAGTATATAATTGTTTTTATGCTACTCACAATTGGTTCATGGATCTTGTTGCAGAGGATGCAATAATGCCTAGCAATATGTCAGGGAACTTCAATAGTAATCTGACAAATGTATTAATGATGGGAATTATGACGCTTCCTTCTGCAGGCCAACTCTAAAGAGAGGCTGGTGATAAACGGATGAAAGTTGTGGAGTATATATGTATTTGGATTGTTGTAAACTGCTCAGAGAGTTTTGGCTATAGGGCAGTATAGAAAACAACAACAACAACAACACACTTTCATTCATGTGCTTTTCCCCTTCCCTTTTAAATTGCTCTGTGATTGTAGAACAGAATATTGGCATAAGTAGACCATTCATTTGATCCACTGAGGCTTTTCTTAAGTTCTAATATGCACCTTGAACCATGATTCAGGAGAGACCTTGTGAAGACAAGTCATATTTAGCTGTATTATCATAAATTAGCTATATTTAGTTCAACTGTCATTCTCTCTCTCCCCCTTCTTCTAAATCAGCTTTTTCTTAAAAGTACTTGTGAAGGCTTTAAAAAAAGAGAACCCTTTAATTTTTCCTCTTTAGTTCTCGATCTTTTTAACTC